TGAACCTTTCAGTTTAAATCTACTGATCATTCTATGTGGGAAAGATGTGGAAATCTGTTTCCATAAAGATTGTTGTTGTTGTTGTTGTTCTGTGCCATTGAGTCGGTTCCAACTCACAGAAACTCTGTGTAGCATTTCCAAGGAGCAGCGGGTGGGTTTGAACTGCCGACTGTGTAGTTTGCAGTTTAGTGCTACTCCTACAGCACCACACCAGGTTTCCAAAAATCAGAGTCTGCATAAAGATTACAGCCTTGGAAACCTGTGGGGCAGTTTGACAGTCCTCCAGTCACTATGAGTCAGAATCAATTTGGTGGCTCTTTGGTTTCCTGAGAAAATCTTTGAACGGTGATGAAAGGGCAGGAAAAGACTCCTGGTACTTAGATGGTTTTACATAGACTTAATGACTGCTTAAAAAAAGCTTTGTGATACTTAAAGGTTTTTGAAGAAAGGGAGAGGAGAACATGTTTTTACTTCTTACCAGCCAGGAACGGCATGTTGTGATGCTCTGATTCATTCTCCCTCTTGACCTGTGTGCACCAAGGTAAAATTCCTCAAAGGATCCATTTGATTTATTCTTAGTTTGAATGAACAAATTCCCTCAGAGAGAACATTTTATGATACTGTATTGTTAAGCAAGTTACTTGCTACATGGTTGCTGAAGTATAAGGCTGCAGAATGAAATTAAGTAGGTTAAAAAAAGTTACCTATTTAACAACAACAACAACCGTATGAGAGATGATGATATGGTGTTCAGTACACATTTGTCGAGCACTTCCTACCAAGGTTGTTTTAGTGGGAGGTGATAAGCAAATGGCTAATTTCAATAGAAACTGTTAGCAAAGGCTTATTTGATTCCAGGGGAACTTTTTTTTTTTTTTTAATGTTTTATTGTGAATTATGCGATAGTTTACATGGGAGAACATTAGTTTTACATTCAGCCTATTGTATATCGTTTCATTGCCATGGTTACAATCCCCTCCATGCATCATCAACCAACCAAAGGGTATACCCTGCAAGCCCGTCCCCTCCCCCTCCTCCTCCAGTCATCAGCACACAGCCCCTATCCCTCTCTGTGTCTAAAGTCCCCAGCTGCTCCATCTCTCCACGTCATCACCTCTGCGTCCATCTCAGGCATCACTGCTTCTCTGGGTAGAGTCCCGCTCTCCACTCTTCTCCCTTGATGGTCCCAGGGACCTCCGCTACTAGACTGCAAAGTTAATCACTTGCCACCTTGCTACAAGACATCTACCTTTACATTTCTAACCCTCACAATCAGTCCTGATAGCAATTATTCACTATTGTAACACAAGAGACCTATCCACATTTCCTTTCATCAGCCCCGCCCAGACAGATTGGATACTACTCAGTGGAGATTCTACTTTCCTCCATACCCTCTGGATCTAGGTTCCCTCTTGAAAGCTTGTAAGCCAGTCACTTCTTGCCTTTGTAGCCCACTCCCTTTGGGTAGCCAATGTCCAAGTTGCCCATCCTTGTTGTTGGTGTTATATGCCGTAGAGTCGGTTCCGACTCATAG